CCCATGATTGAAGCCAGCTGCTTCCAGCAGTCTGGATAGTCCATCCAGAAAAGAGCGAGAGAGTTTTTCCAGTTTTGTTCTGGGGCTGAACACAGGCTATTTCCACACCTCCACCACGTTTTTTGCCTCTCACAGAAGTGGTGAGACTCACTGGTTTTGGCTGGGTAGTTTTCTTCTGTCCGCTTTCTCATTTAGTCTCTGGGAGAGAGGGGGAGATGCGTAAACATACAGAAATGAGAAAAGAAATACCCACTTATCTTTCTAACCTGTACATTTGAACCTGCTGTGCACAAATGCAACACAGAGATCGCTTGGTGTCGAAAAGAATGGAAATGGGTTGCCTTGAGCTGGGTGGCAGGAGCAAGTTTTGAAGATTCGAGGATCACCTGTCACAGCAGAGTTCTCCTACTGCCCCAGTGAGGGCAGGAGGATTAACCTGAGGGAATACAGCTAAACTGAACTAAGGCCACTTTAATTCTGAACACCAGCGTCCAATGTGAAGACTCAGAAGCATTTTCATATTCAACCTATTGCAGCACATCTCAGCGCTTTGGGAGTTTCATTCTCACAGATTCCATTCTTGCATGAGAGATGTTGTTATGATGTCCTTCGTTGTGGAGGAGGAGAACATCTGGGTTTTGCAGGAAGTGCCCAGAATCCCAAGTGTGGAGGAAGGAATCTAAGGAAGAGGGATCAGCACAAGAGTGAGTGCTGAGCTTTGAAAGGTGGTGTCTGGTCTTCAGTTGTGTGTCAGAACTTCTAATATGTAGTTTTTTGTTAACAGTAAGAATACTGGAGCCCAGATTATTTGGGGGTTTTTTGGTAGCCAAAAAAAGTGTAGTACACTATAGAGAGCTAGAAGGTGATTGCTTGGAAGATTTTAGGAAAAGAAGCTGCCCCTTCATGTTTATTCCATAGAATGCTGTTGAAATGAGGTTTTTGGGACTGCATCAAGATACATCAAGATATTGATTATCAGTGTTTTTTCACTGGGAATAAGCTGGTGCTGCTGCTGGCCAAAGTGCAATATTAGAATGGATCAAGGAAAATGATCTACTGAGTATTGGACTTGTCAGAAAACAAAGCAATAGGAAGGCTGTCCTGTTAGATGTTCAGATGTATTGTTATCTAGATAGGGTAAAGGAGTTTGCCTTCATCACGTACCTTGGTGTACCTTGGTTTTCAATGTGTTTTAATTACAGTGGGTTTATTTGGTGCCTCTTTTACATTACAGTTCTATTTCTTGGGATTAATAGAAGTTTGTAATACGTATTTGCCTGGCAGATTGCACAGAAATGTAGCTAGAAGCCTACAGAACCAAAAAATACACAGTCTCAATAAAAAAGAAGGATGAGGAGTGGGAAGAAAATGGTACGACATGTAAATACCTGTTGGGTCTTCACTACTCGTTTATTTGTTGTCTGCTTGGGTTTTTGTGAAGACTGTGTTCCCAAAAGTGCTAACTAAACTGAGGACAAAGGAAGAGGGGTGTGGAGGAGACCAGAAGGGGGTCAGGAGGGAACATGTGAGAGAGAGTTGACACTGGGAAGGGATAGAGGGAGGGTGGAGAGAAAGGGCATCTAAGAGACTGCAAGGCAGGGAGAGAGGGAGAGAAGGAGGGAGGGGGCAAGCAGGCTCAGGAAGAGTGCTGTGTCAGTCACTCTGTTTGCTATTTACTTTCTTATCTTTTTCCTTTACATTTAGAGAGAGATCTTTCTCTTTCAAATCTCATCACTGAATGGTAGAGCCTTGCTGGTAGTAGTTTTTTCAGCTTCTTAATTTTGTATGTGGTGCTAAAACAAAGCTTCTTTCTCAGCATTGAAATAAATCTCTCTGGAATCTTGTATCACACTTATTTTCAGATCTTTGCCACATGAACTTCAGAACTAGAACTTTTGGGTGTTTTGCCATTCCATTACTTTTGAGTTTGGTGATGAGGTGATAAGTGAATTAACTTCAGTATCAGTCATTTTATATGGTGTAAAAGAACCTTCGTATTCAATGTTATTTGTTAATTATTAAAAAAAAAAATACATAGCACTAGCATAGGTGTATTGCCTTTTTAATAATTATTTGCCGCATTTTGCATCTCTTTATGATACTCTAGTCACATCAGTTATAGCATGCTTGATGTGGAAACCTCCTGTCATTTATTTGCCAGTACCTGCAGGAACAGTCTGGGGTGAGGGTCAGGCAAACTACAAATTCTCAGATTGCCCCTGTTTAGCACGGTGTTTCTCAGTCAAAGATGAGTTTTCAGACTACCACTTGCTTAAAATATTTACAAACATTTAAGTCTATATCCTGTCCATCACTAGGTAGACTAAATTCCCTTTGAAGTGAGTAAGAGCCACCCATGTAAGTCAAAGGCAGGATGTGGCCTTTTATGGAGTGAGGTGGCTGTAAAGGGACACGCACATCCTGAGATTTGTTATGAAAGAGCATTTTATGCTTAAGTGCGTTTTGTGCTCCATCACAGCTTGAAATGAGTCCGTGTACTGGCTTTCAGTAACGTGTTTACTGGGAATTTTACTGCAATTCTAAATTTGATCATAGAGCAGGTACATTCTTAAGGAGATGATAGCAAATTTGCTATCTTTTTCTAATGACCAAAGACTCTCAAATAGACTTCTCCCCCTCCCCCCCCAGCACATGATACTTGCAAATGAGCGTGTCCCCAGGCTTAGTACATTAATGTTGTAAGGTTGTCTTTGCTCAAGTCAGTCACCTACAATGAGCTTTGGAATCATAGCTGCAGCAGTAAAAACACTGGGCAATAAGCATTGAGGAAGTGTTACAGAAAGTCTGTCTTTAGTTTGTGTTTATGTTGCAGTCAGCTTGAAGTCAGTGGTAGGAGCATATGAATGTCATCTGAAACAGCTACTGTGAGGTAACTCTCAATAATCTTTGATCAGTCATGGTGACTGGAAGAAGTGCCTGAGGACTGGAGGAAAACAAATGTCACCCCCGTCTTCAAGAATGGCAAGGACCCAGAGAACTGCAGGATGCTCAGCCTCCCCTCAGTCCCTGGGGAAGTGATGGAGCAGCTAATCCTGGAAACCATTTTCACGTTAAGACAATCAACTAAAGTGAAGTCATGCTCAACCAACGTGATAACCTTCTACAATGAAATGACTGGCTTGGTAGATGAAGGGTGAGCAGTGGATATTGTCTACTGAGACTTCAGTTAAGGTTTTTGACACTGTCTGCCATAAGCTCATCACAGAGAAGCTGATAAAGGATGCACTGGATGAGCAGTCAGTGAGGTGGATTGAAAACTGAATGGCCAGGCCCAGAGGGTGGTGATCAGTGGCACAAAGCCTGGCTGGAGGCCAGTAACTAGTGGTGTACCCCAGGGGTCAATACTGGGTCCAGTCCCGTTTAACATCCTCATTAATGATCTGGATGATGGGGCAGAGCTGTACCCTCAGCAAGGTTGCTGATGAAGCTAAACTGGGAGGAGAGGCTTATAAACCAGGGGGTCATGCTGCCATCCAGACCCCCAGGACCTCAACAGGCTGGAGAAATGGGCTGACAGGAACACATGCAATTAAACAAAGGGAAGTGCAAAAGTCCTGCACCTGGGGTGGAACAACCCCAGGGACCATTTACTGTGGGCTGACTGGCTGGAAAGCAGCTTTGCAGGAAGGACCTGGGGGTCCTGGTGAACACCAAGCTGAACACAAGGCAGCAACAAAGCCACAAAGGCTAATTGTACCCTGGCTGCATTAGGGGGAGCGTTGCCAGCAGGTGGAGGGAGGTGAGCCTTCCCCTCCCCTCGGCGCTGGTGAGGCCATACCAGGAGTGCTGGGTCCAGTTCTGGGCTCCCCAGTGCAATACAGGAAGAAGCACAGAATCATCGAGAGAAGGTGTTCCTGAAAAATTCTTTTGTTCACTATTTAAAGCCTGCACAGGTCCTATTATCAGTTTTATAGGACACAGTCCTGAGGTCCCTTCCAGCCCTCGCCATTCTGCATGCGTGTGTGTGTGTGTATGCGTGCACACACACGTGTGCCTGCATCTTGTGATCTCCTTTTCCATTTTTTTAGTAAATTTATTTTAAAAATACTTTTAGTATTAACATTTCCAACAGTAGCAAATGCTTTTTTGGGGGGAGTTGGTAGCTTTTTCATGTTAAGCATGTGAACTCTTTTACAAAGCCTCATATACCATGGGCAAAACCTTGGAGGATTTAACCAGAGCTTGTAAGTTTTGGTTCCAATACTGGTTTTGCTCTGATGCTTTGCTTCGAGGTGTTTGGAATGACTTAGAATAATGGAATCAAGACTAACTTGATCCTGCGCTTTCATAGCACAGAAGACCAGAATAAGCTATAGAATTTTTCCTTTATGTAATTGTTCCTCGCTAAAAAATCATGTATTTAAACTTTTTCTTGTCTTCTAAGAGTCCTGTAATTGAATGGCTTATTTGCAGGTATATTGTCACTTCCACCTTTATAGGAGAAATAACATTGAAATAGTAAGTTATGTAGGTGTCAAACAAATGGTGCCAGTGCAGAAGCAGACGTTCAGCTATATGCATAGTACTAGTCCATATGGACTTACAAATCAGTAAAAAAAAAAGTATTTTTTTTTTCACTACAGAGCTTTTGATGGTTATTATTAACTATATTTAGAGCCTCTTCCTCTGTTAATTTAACTTTGGAAATTGCAAAACTCTTATTCTTAATCATGTTCCCTGTCATCAGCAGGGGAAGAGTCACCAGAATGTGCTTTTAACGTGTGGGATTTTAGAATCAATGAGAGCTGTTTCCCTGGTAACAGATTTGGAAGATGGTTCTGAATCCTACAGAATATGAATGGAGAATCAGAAATAGCTGCTGGTTTTTTGGGGGTTGTTTTTTTGGTTGTTCCCTCCCCCCACTTCCGCGAAATTTGTTTCTGTATATATATTTATGGAGGGTTTTTTTTTTTTTGGTTTTTGGTTAGTAAAAAGCAACACATAATACTTCAAAATATTGCTGGGCACAGATATCGGGAATGGTGATTGGTAAGTGAACAAGAGTAGTGAAAACACATTTTATTTCTGGGTTACATTTCTATTGGAAAACAAGAACAAACTGTGTATGAGTTGTAGAGATAAAATCTGCTTTGGCTTTTCCCCAGGTCATTAAAAACACTGTCTTGTCCCTGCCTCGTAGTAGTGGAAACAGTTGTGGCTTTGTTTTTGTGTGACTATGTGCAGTACATTGTAAAGCTCATTTCAGCATTTAATATGGTACCTCCATGAAAGAAGTTAACAGAATGGGCAGAATTATCCTCCAAGACTGCTGAATGACTCTGAGGATTTTTCTTCTGATAAACCTCAAAAATTCTTTTCTCCTGCTGCATCTCCTCCTTGAAATAAACAGAATTTCATCCTGTATAATTTTTCTGCCTCTTTGTCTTTAAAAAATTTTTTCTTTGTTGCTCTAACCTTGTAAATTTTCTGTAAGTCAGGTTTATTTAGTTGAAAGCCATTTTTGTTATGTCCACATTTGTGCACTAGCACCATTGAGTTCTGTATATCAAACTGTTAATCCTACAGTTACAGAAAGATGTTTCCTTCGTTCAGTTGAACAAGCCTAACAACTGCAATACAAAATATTGAAGGTCCTGTTTAAATACAGTTTAGTTTTAATGCAAGCAGCAAATCTCCTAATGTAATTACCAAATGTTGGTATCTTTATTCTCATAATAAATTCTGCCCATGAAATGTCTATTCTTTGTAACAAAAATAGCTATTTTCTCTATAAAGATTGTGAGAAATGTGGCCTGTTAGAGAAGCTTGAGAGCAGAGGCTCAAGGGTACTGAGTTTTGCAGAGCTGGTAAGTCAGCTATAGCTATAAACATGATTCTGTCAGTGAGCCTTTTCTAGCAGCCACTCATAACTGGAGAAGAGGTTTAATACTAGATTCTGGTCTGAAGATGGCATCAAACATTACTTTTATGACCCTATGCGTTACCTTTTTGTTTTACCTGTGGCATTTTGACTTCATTGTGTTCATCATGCTTGACAACAGGGACAACTGGAAAGGTAATAACGGACTTCTCTTGCTTCTGCTGGGACCGGGAGGCTTGCTCATGCAGATATCCAGTGACTTGGCCCTTACCAGCACTGGAGCTATTGAGTGAGTGAGACACAGCTGCCAGGATAAGAGTGAAACCTGTTATGCAGCAACAGATGAAATATATTTGCTTGCTCACTGACCTACATCTATTCATGTATGGCAAGTGGAAGTGAATGTGGGGACAGGTCTATACTGTAGATGAAGATAACATCACCGTTTGGGAGCTGATGATGGTGAGGAGCAACCCGGATCTCAGTTGTTTGAACTGCTCAAAGCTGCTGTTGCGTTGTTCTTAATGGTAGTAGGGTAACAAAGCTAGTTAGTTACCTTTGCTCTGTCCTTAGCAATTACAGCCTTCTAGTTTTGTTGTGCCTGTATTCAGAGTCTGCTCATTGATGTAATCAGGTTGTACACACAAAGTCCTTAGAATAATAAGAGAGCACAGAGTTGTGTTGTTTGGGGACTTGGGGTTTTTGTTTGTTTGTTTGTTTTAATAACTTGTTGTTTTCTCCATAAAGAATTGAGATATTAGACTTGGAAAATAAAGCTGACAGGCGAAGGAGGAGTTAAGGGCAAAAGAGACAATGGCCAAACCAGATATTTTTTATTTCTTGAATTAATTGGCAAAATTCCAATATGTCTTTTAATTGCAAATATGGATTTGGGTAGGTAACACTTACCTATGTGGCAGTCAGTAACTGAAAGCAGAGAAGAAAAATGAACACTTGAAGTGACTGAAGGAGAATAAATATGTGACATTAACTAACTTATTTGCATCTCACCTTCTGAGAATATTCTGTCTCTTGACCTAGTCATTAGAATCTGTATTCCATATTTTGGCGGTAATGATTCAACAGATTATTTCCTGAAGATAAATGTACTAAGTGTATTCTGGGCAAGTGCTTATCACAAGTGTCACTGAGGAATAAAATACACTTTTCCTGGGTTTTTTTGGCATTTTTATGGGGTTTTTTTGGAGGTTTTTGGTTTTTTTTTTTTGGTTTTTTTTTTTTTTTTTTTTTTTACACAAATAGCCATTTTAAACTTGCTTGTAATGACAGAATTCCAACACCTTGGAGGTATACAGCCACGTTTTCACAGAATCACACAGAATCACAGAATCGTAAGGGTTGGAAGGGACCTCAGGAGATCATCTAGTCCAACCCCCCTGCTAAAGCAGGCTCACCTAGAGCATGCTACACAGGACTTCATCCAGGCGGGCTTTGAATATCTCCAGAGAAGGAGACTCCACAACCTCCCTGGGCAGCCTGTTCCAGTGCTCTGCCACCCTCAAAGCGAAGAAGTTCTTCCTCATATTCAACTGAAACCTCTCGTGTTTCAGTTTGCATCCATTGCCCCTAGTCCTGTCGCTGGACACCACTGCAAACAGACTGCTTTTAAAGCCTCCCATTCTCTAATGCTTCCGGAATAGGTGGCATTAAAATGCCACTTAGGAATATATACCTCCAAGGTATATAATATGTCAATATTTTATTGTTCTGTTAGCTACACTTTCTGTACTACCTGGTTTTTTTTTTTACCCTACTACCATTTTTATTATTCCTAATGTAAAAATTGTGCTCCATTTTCTTGAGCCCCACCACCTGAAGTCTTAAAACACAGGTTCCAATTTGTGACTCTATTTGTTTCCCAACTCTTTTAATTAAAACATACTCAGTCCAAATCTGATTGTATATGCAGTTCCATCCTGAAATGCAGTTATCTTTAGCTTAATATCTCACAAGTATGCATATTGGCACAACTACTCCATATTCAAACTCTTTTTGAAATCCCTGCCACTTTTTAACATGCTGTAAAATGGTACTCTGTCAAGATGTGCTTCAAAACCCTTGTTTAATTTTAAACTAATGAGCTCTGAAGATTTTTTTAGATAGCCTATGGGAATGAAGAAACAAAGAGCATGAATTGTTGGATTTGCACAGAGACCGTGTATTCTGGGTTTATAACAAGGGGCAGAGCTAGGCCCATAAAGAGTTGCTGGAAGGAAGAATGCAGAAAGAAGGGTGCGCACTCTACTTAAGGTCAGGGTAGGGAGCACAAAGCTTTTAAATCAACTTGTGTTCAGGATTATGAGAGGTCAAGGGGTAAAGCAGGATATCTCTGTTTATTACCTGTGTATTTTGTACCACTTTATAAATGACTTGAATAGGCAATTTTAAGTTCCTGTAGGTTGATATAGATTAGATCAGATCGGATAATAATAAAACATTAACCTCAAATTTCTTAAAAAATTAATTTGGATACATGCAGGGAAGAACTCTAGCTTGGATTATAAATGATGATCTCTTCAAACCTGGCTCCATCTACCTTTGGCATTTGTGGGGCTTGGAACAAAGCATCTTTCTTTAAAAGCCAAAATTAGATACATAGTGCTTTGATTTTCTTTTAAACTTAATTTCATGGCATTGTTACATATCCCTGACGCTGAAGTTAGCAGTTGCACAATGGTTTTTCTTTAACTTAAGCATTAGTAGAGGGCACTGCTGTTACGTGATAGGACTGTTTGTTCTGAGTTATATAAAAATTCAGGCCAGCAATTCAACCTGGATTAATCAGTGTTTTCCTCTCAAATATAAGGGTTCCACTGGCGGTGAAAAAATGCTTGTGGGGGGGGTTTGTTTTGGTTTGGTTTTAAAGTGAATTGTATTTATGTTGAATTCTTAAAGCTGATGTGCCAGGACTGGTTTTCTGAGGGCTGCAATACATAATGTAACATCAGCATTTCACTGAAACAAATTGCTCCAGGAATTTGTTTTGCATCTTTTCCAGCATATCTCTATGTTCCATCTCTCTCAAGTAAACCAATACAATGCCAAAATTGAAGAAATCACAAACATTTCTTGAAAGAACAGCTATATTAATCTTTTTACAGACAAAACCATTAAATATTTCTTATTGCTTGATTAAAAAGTTGCTTCACTGTTCTTCTGATGAATGTTACCTGGAGAGCAGTTCTGGGCTAGCAATGTCCTGGAGAAGGACTGCTGAACACCGTGGGCTTGGTTAAGGGACACCTACAGCTTTGAAAGGAAGTGCACAACGGATGATGCAAAATACAAAAGAAGGTCATGGAGTAAGAATTGATGATGGAGATGTTTCAGAAAAATGGCTATGATATACGAGTAATAACGTGATAACATATTACACTTTCTAGGTTCCCTGAGTTTTGCTTCTTATTACTTTTAATGGTTAGACCCCTGCAGTTGCATGGTCTTTCATTAAAGACATACTGTGATCTGCTATGGTACTGAGATAAGGTATGATGAAGTGGGCACTCACAGCATTTTCCTGCTTTGTTTTATCTGAAGATGCAATGTTCAGAGGAACTCTTTCCTCTTTGTGCTAATACATTTTCGACACCTAGTGGTATTAAGTGTAAATTATTGAAAGTTTGTTAGGGGAAATACTATCTTACCAGCAGTAAATTCTTAGTGGAGAAGTGAAGTAAATCCTATAGCTCAGCGGGAATGGAGTTAATTGTTAAACTTCTGAAAAATTACAGTGAAGCTTTTAAGAGGAAAGTATAACAGGTATTTTTTGCTTCTGTACCATCCTTCAGTTGGGGAAGAACAGGAAAAGGCTGTCCGTGACCCTCTCACGTAAAAGTGCTGTGGGATAGGAGTGTATTTGTTCAGTCACATCACGCTGATGCTGAATAACAGGAAATACAGAGAAATGAAAGGCGTGGTGTGAAAGGAGTTGGGCAATTACAAGAGAATTTTTTTCTGCTCAGTGTTAGTCAAGTTTGTAAGGAAGACTGATGACTGAAAGTTGCAGGAGGATGTCACGAGACTAGACACTGCGATGGCAGGTAAAGTTAACTGTAGATCAGTATAAAGTAATGCAGATGGAAAACAACTACATGGCATGTCCACTCTCTTTGTCTTTTCCTTACTTACAGTACAGATAACACAATGATGCCACTTCATAAATCTAAGTTTTGGCAGCACCTTAGTATTTGAAGTACTCTAGGTATATCTCAGAGGTAAACAGAACTGAGAAAGCTTCAACAAGGGTCAAAGGGACAATCAAGCTATGGAGTGTCTTCCAGGTGCGAACTGAACTGACCTGGCTAGGACTCTTCAACCTAGAAGAAGTACAGCTGAAGGTTTATATGTGTGGTGAGTTGACCTTGGCTGACCTCCAGGTGCCTGCCAAACTGATCTATCACTCCTCTTCTCAACAGGACAGAGGAGAAAATATGATGAAAAAGTTCATGTGTCAAGATAAGGACAGGGAGATCAGTTACCTGTTACCATCACAGGCAAAATGGACTCCACTGAGGGAAATTAATTTAAGTTATTGCTAATTCATAACAGTGAAAAATAAGAACAAATCTTTAAACACCTTCCCCCTACCCCTCCCTTCTTCTTAGGCTCAACCTCACTCCTGACTCTTCTACCTCCTCCCCCTGAGCAGCACAGGGGCATGGGGAATAGGGGTTGTGGTCTGATCATAACACTTCATGTCTGCTACTCCTCTCTCTGCACGATCTTCCCCTGCTTCAGCCTAGGGTCCCTCCCACAGGGTATTCCTTCACAAACTTCTCCAACATGGGTCCTTTCCATATGCCACAGTTCTTCCAAAACAGCTCCAGCATGGGTCCCTTCCATGGGGTGCTGTCCTTCAGGGACAGACAAGCTCCAGCATGGGTCCCCCACCGGCTACAGCTCCTGCCAGCAAACCTGCTCCAGCCTGGGCTCTCCACAGGCTGAAGCTTCCTTCAGTGCATGTCCACCTGCTCCAGCACGGGGTCCTCCATGGGCTGCTCTGTGGATATCTGCTCCATGGGCTGTAGGGGGACAGCCTTCCTCACCATGGGCTGCACCATGGGCTGCAGGGGAATCTCTGCTCTGAAGTAGAGAGCAGAGGTGCCTAGAGAACCTCCTCCCCTCCTTCTTCACTGACCTTTGTGTCTGCGGGGCTCCTTCTCTTACATTTTCTCACTTTTCTCTCACGCAGCTGTCGCACAGCTTTTCTTACCCTTTCTTAAATATGTTATCACAGAGGCACTACCAACATGGACTCAGCTTTGGCCAGCGGTAGGGTTGCTCTTGGACCCTGTGAAACTGGCTCTGTCTGACATGGGAAGGCTTCTAGCATCTTCTCACAGAAGACCCTCTGCTACCAAACCTTGCCACATAGACCCAATACAATATGACAAAGTTTGTATAAAATCAAGAGTGTGTGGAGAAGGCAGGGAGGAAGATTTACTGAATACAAGAAACAGAAATGAAGCTGGTGGATCCAGGCTCAGAACAAATGAGGCATCTTGGGTGTTAAAGCTCTGAAAATCCTTACTAAAATGTGTTGAGGATGCAAAAAGTTTCCATGGCTTTAGGGAGAGACATGCCCAAGTACTTGAGAGATATGGTAGGGCTACCAAATAGGTAGCATTCAGCTAATGAACTTCAAAGCTAAGTCCTAGCTTTTAAGATGCAGGGAGGGTTTTGTGGAGGAATTGTCATATATTATGGCCCTTCTTTTTACTCTTACCTTGGCCATCACTTACAAACTTGATTGGAGATAAGACACTGCCTGAATGGACCCTTGATAGGAGTCAGTATAGACATTTTTCTGTTGTAACACTAATAGGAAAGAACAGAAGAACAAGGGTTATGTCCTGAAAAATGTTAGGAAATACATTGTTATGTCCTGTAAATGGGCTTAAAGCAATAGGTACATGCAAAATATTGTATGAATAATGCAAGTTCATATATGATTTTATAATATCTGTTTGTTAGGGGTTTTTTAAATGGAATCAATAACAGCTGACAGCAATGAATGTATTTTTTATAATTTCAGTTAGCATGTTTTCAATCAATATTTAGATAAGAATCAGTAGAAATGTGAAACTAAGTAATGTGGCCTAATGATGAAATTCTTTTCCAAGCTCAGGATTAGTGCAGGCATTATTGTTAAGGCGTAAATGGTACATACATAAATTTTGTGCAAAGTTCTCAATGTTGAGGAATTTGATCCTTACACAAACAAAATGTCTTTCTTTTGTACTCATGTACCTTGCTTGTTTTGTAATCTTACTTCTACCTACAGGATCCTTAGATTAAACATTGTAGGATGTATTATGATAAGATACTTCTATATATATCTTTTACAGAAAAACCCCTTCCAAACCCAGAAATGCAAATATTCTGACTAAAACAATATGGATTATAGAGAATGGAAAATCCAGAAATTATACTACAGTTAACGGTGACTCTTATGCATGCTCAGATAAATTGCACATACTTGTATCCATATTTACAAATGTTCTCAACTGCCAGGATTTGCGAATACAATCCTTTTTGTCTCTCTCCTCTTTCCCCCTCCCCCAGGCACAGGAGAAAGTGGCAAGAGTACATTCATTAAGCAAATGAGGATTATTCACGGATCAGGTTACACAGAAGAAGACAGGAAAGGCTTCACAAAACTGGTTTACCAGAACATATTTACTGCCATGCAAGCAATGATCAGAGCCATGGATACTCTCAAGATACAGTACACATCCAAAGAGAATGAGGTAAGCCAGTACAAAGAAAATTCTGCTTTCAGCCCATGAAATTTCAGTCTGTACACGAATTACATGTGATAACATTCTACAGGCAGAACCTTAAAAATCTATATGTCTTGTGGGGAGTTCGGTGCGCTGCTGTCTGATTCTACAGAACAGGAGTTCCTAGTGGAAAGAGGGTCATGGTGAACGGGAATGAGGTGGAGCTGGCTAGGAAGGGAGAATTTTCAAAGTTGCAAGCTGGTAATAAGTGCCAAAAAAATACATGGTTTTTTTGGAATCTGAGTTGTAGAGTTAGATTGTGCATGACAGGAATACACAGAGAGTCTGGGTTGTCACTAGAGCTCCAGAACGAGGAATTTGGGTCTATTGTAGGGGAATCTGCATCTGCTTGATGCTGGTGTGCTTTTAAACATACCTTGTAGAGCTGTTTTATGGATTTGCTAGCAACCTTTATGTACTTAAATAACTTGAAAACGTAGAATGCCTTCCCCAAGCATTTTGTAGTTTCAAGATATGTTATACAATTACATTTTTTGTTTCAGTGTTTAGGATTATAGAACTATAAAAAAAAATTATTCTTTAGTTAAATCAGTTGCGTTCTTTGCATCCATCCATTGCATCAGTTGCTGAAGTACCATGAAGAATATATAAGCAAATTTTTGGGTGATATTCGTTTAAATTAAGAGAGATATCCAGTTGGCTAAATTTTAGAGTTAAGATAGGAAGGACTGCGTAGGAAGTATCAAGGCAGAAGTAATTTGTAAAACTTATGGGTTTTTAACTAAAGTACTGTATGAAGAAAATACAGTTGATAGCCTACTTTTCATTCAAAAAATATGATTCTATATAAACAATATGAAAAATTTGTGATCAGATTTTTTATTATTTAAGTTGGTTTGTGTTATTTGTTCTCAGGGTTGTAGAGAAGAGAGATAGAAAATGTTTTTTAAAGTAAAGGACTGGTAAATCAAAATTTTTTTTTTTATCACAAAAGAACAGATGTGTCAGCAGAAACAAATTCTAGACTTCAGAGAGCTGAGGTATTAGGGTGATTCTTTCCTACATAAGAAAAATATTCTGAGGATTAATAAATTGTTTGTAGAACACCTTTAGAGGCTTAAGAAGGCAGCAGGTACAGAAACAGCAAATATGATTGTGAATATACTTCATCCTAATTCGAAAGTGTATATTTTGATGAAAAATTATGATAATCAGAATCTATTTGAAGAAATATATTTGCGCTACCTCTTACTGAGTTTGGGTTTTTTTTTTTTTCTTTTCTTCTGATTAAGAGCAAAAGACAAAGACTTAATACAGCAAAGTTTTTCTCATTCTGGGCTCTGCAAGCTGAGCTGGATACATTCCCGTAACATGCTATTCCAGCTAAATTGTGTTCTTGATGATAGCTGTGCTGCCAGTGTCTTCAGATTCAGAAGATTATAACGCTATTTTACAGTTGTTGGAGAAAGGCAGAATTTGGTCTTGTGCCTCTTTATTAAAGGTAACAAAGTGCTAAGCAGTAAGAATGCAGTTTGGCAAGCTCAGCTTCAGTGGCATTTACAAAGCAGAGTCATTTTTGCTTGCACACAGAGAAACTCTTGAGAGACACAACATGAAAACAACCTTGCCTCACCCCAGTCATTTTGCAGGAGACAACTGCATTTTAATCTTTAATTTAGGTGATGAATATAATGTGGAGTACTATACATCTTGTAATTGCCTTTCATTAAAGGATCTTAAGCCTGTAATGAAAAACAGTTGACAGCAACAGTGATAACCAGCAGAGTGGTGATTCTGCTGCCATAATCATATTGCAAAGGTGTGTCTGGTGACCATACAGAAATCGTCTGGTGTCCTCTTCCACATTTCAGTATGTCCATCTTCTCCATGGCATGCCTTCTTTTCCCTGAAAAATTTGTTTCCTTCGGGCTCTTTCACTCGTTGTTGTTTCTTTTTTTTTTGTTTTTCTTGTATACAGTTTGTGCTTTGACCAGGTCCAGGTCCAGCTCTGTGGGTCCTGGAATTCTCTGCCTGCTGAATATTTTCATTTCATGTTTTTGTAGTGGAGAATAGATTGTCTCTTCCCAGTAAGTGTGACCTGTGTGAAAATCCATAACTAGCCATAACATATGGCTAGATTGTCCAAAAGGGCCTCTTAATCCTCTTGATGTTTACAAATAAAGACAAGTTTTATAGAAGTTGTTTAAAGAGATTTCTTATTGCTGTTGTCAACTGCAAGTACTTAAATGATCTGATTTTCTATAGGTGCTGCATTGAAATGGGAAGGGTTTTTTGTTTTGTACTGGTTTGAAGTTGCTTGGATGAAGTACTTCTCTGTGTAGTCATGCTTGACGTTTAACTTTAACTGAACAGTGAATTTTTATCCTAATTTCAGGTAGTGTGTTCTTTGGGACACTTTGCCTCATACTCAATTTGAAGTTGGAGGGTATCATAGCATGTTTTGGGTATATTTTAAGCATAAATCCTGCAGATTTTTAGGAACCTAATAATTCAAGGAATTATTGTAGTACTATCTAACCCCCACAGTTTTGGAAATGATTGTTTCTTTTTTTTTTTCCCCTCTCCTTTTTTTCCTGTTATAAACCTTGCCTTTTCCTGTTATAAAATTTGCTGCTAGAGGTGAGCTAGTTGGAGGGGGGGAGAGGGTGGAAGAAGTAATAATTATGATCTATATGTCACTTTTTTTTCAATGTCATAGAGTGGCAATTGGTAAATTGAGTGTTGGTTAAGTAGCCAGTTAGTACCAGTACAACATTATTTGCAGTCTCTGAGGATGGTCATTCTGTGTGAGGGCTTGAATCAACTACTTTTACAAACACTTCTCCTTTCCATATGATAATAGAGACTGCCAGAATGCAAGATGAAAGTTAATGGCACCCTGTCTCTTGGCTTCTTTGAGAAATTGTGATTAAGTTAATGTGAAAATTAAGCTAAGTAAATGAAAAAAAGAATGTACATGTGAGGCACAGAGCAATAAAAAAATCAGCTGATAGCTGAGAAGTAGTGAAAGTTCTTTTTCACTGTCCGAATTTTTTTTTAATCAGCTTAAAGTCAAAGCGTAGGAAAAGAAAACCTCAAACAGGAGGAGGTAGAAATCAGGTAACATTGGAGGAAGGGAAAATGCAGCATTCCGTTTGTGAGTATACATCAGTCTTAAAAAGCAGATTTTAAAATATTTCCTGGTTGCTTGTCTGTGTTGGTCAGTCACATCTTTCTGCATTATGTTAGTGTTTGCTATATTACAAATATGCAGAAGAAACAAGCTGTTTAAGCCCATCTGAACTGGAGATGCAACAGACATTTTAAAATATTAGTTCAATGAAACTTATCCTTCATCTTCCAAACTAACATGTATCCTATATCGCAGAGGAATCACTCTTTTTATTCTGCACGTAAGGCAATATTAGAAATTTCAACTTATTTGTATTTAAAAAAAAATACACTTAAATCAGTGGGAAGACCTTTTTCTATAGCTGTTCAGGATGAGGGTCATAGAATAGGAATTCAGTCCTGTTGTTGTGGGTTGGTTTGTTTTTTAAAATACCCTGGTAAGATGACAGTGCATATGTTTGCAATTAACAACAGATCTTTGTAGCAGTATGAACAATTACTTTTTTTCTAAGGAGAAAAACAGAATACTGTGTAAAAATGCATTTCAGGAAGAGGTCATCACATTTCATCTCCAGAACATTTCTTGCTTTGAGTAACCCTCTGTCTTAAAAAGTTGCCCTGGCATGAGTGTGTGTCAGCAAAACTAGTATTTTTCTGAACAAAAGAAGTATTATGATGCCAAATGAATTTTACAGGACAGGTAATTAACTTATGTCAGAAAAGGGGAATGCAAAAGGACAAGTACAGTAAGATGAGATTTGAGAATTATTGAAGGAAGCCATGTAGCTGGTACAAATGGAAAACACAGTGAAAAGTAATTTTTGGTTGATTGCATTGCGTGTTTGAATTTGAAGATGTGGAAAATGACATAATGCAATTCTTTCTTTTCTTCATTTTTTTAAACCTTAGCAGAGAAACCATTGCTCATAGCAGGTGCTTTATTTTAAGAGTAATCTGATGGTATTAATATTATTTATGCTTTTAACAGTACTTTTTTGTTACAATCGTATTTGACTTTAAAGATGCAGTACTTTGGTAACTGATTTTTATTATGCTATCATTAATGCAGGTGATAAAGGGCTAGAATTTATAGACAGTCTAGATGTATTTTTAGCAGTTTATTTTATAGAGACACTAATTCAAAACTCTCCAAAACATATCCTTCTTCATAATAAACACATTTAATTATGGCCCAGTGTGCAAAGTCTGCGTCTAGGCATTCTTGAACAGAGGTTTCAGTCTGATTTTCCATGGAAATTAGACTTAAGTGAGCAGACTAATTGTATCTGTCTTTGGATCTTCTGTCTGATTTCAGTTGAATTCCACAGAGAGGTTGAAGTTAAAAAGCTGAAATTCTTGGCTTCAGAGAGTTTAGTGCTGCTAGACAGTTAAAAATAGAGAAAGAAGAAAGCTTCTCCAAGTAACCCATCTGAAGTAAAAGCAAAGAATCAACAGAGGAGAGGCTCCTTTCAAAGTACCGTTGGGAGGGACTGACTTTCACTCAGTCACAAAATGTGACTTAGCTGTCCATGCGTGAGTGTGTAGCACCATACGCTTAGACACTTGGGCACACGTTGTCAGACCTTCTCCTTCCTCCCTGGAAGGGTATAGGTTTTTCTTGATATTTTTTGTTTTGGAAGTTATTTTTTGAGTGAGAACATGGCCTCATTCAAGAGCAAGGAGATTAAGTATCCACTTTGGGGGATTAAAGTTGTGTGCTGCTTTACATGAGCAAATATAAAAAATGCTAATGCTGAATTAACTGCTCTCCACATGGAAGTCAGGAAGGAAATTCTCCACTTCTTAGATGACAACCTTCCCTGCCACACATGGGATGTGCGTGTGCTGTTGGGACTGTATGCATGTTTGTTGGT